ATAGAAATGTAGAAATTATCTTGAAGAAATATCTATATGATGTAGAGTAGTTATCTTAAGGAAATATCTAGATATTTTAGAATAGTTGCTAGAAGATAAGTTTACTAGAACTTTCTTATGGATGTATCTAGAAGACTTTCTAGAACCATCCCTAGACAAGTATAAATAGGAGATGGACTTGTACATTTGTATTCAAGAAGAAAAAAAATCAAAACACTTAGAAGTCTTCTTCCATTACAATGTTCTTCTTTCCAAATTCCTTTACAACTACCTAGCTTCCTCTTCATCCTTAGTTGAATTTTACGATCTTAGTTGACGATCTTGGGCTAGTAGGAGGTTTTCTAATTATACTTTTTTCTGCTATTCTCTATACTAAGAGAGTCGATGCATACTTTGAAATCACTAGACGTTCGACAAACATCTTTTTATCAAATCTCCCTACGAAAAAGTTACAAGAGAAAGAAAGAGCATGAAAATCAGTGTTAATGCTTTCACGGAATTCATCTTCACCAATACATATATTCTTTGAGTTTATGTCGAGTGATTGTTATAGCTAGAGCAATACAGATTCATATTAATTTATTTTGCATAAAACGTTATGTAGATATTATTGGGCGAAGAAGATTGTGGTAATTATATCATTTCCTTTTGAAATAAACTAGTATTGATAAGTATCCTCTTATAATTTTGGCATGCAAGTAATTTAATATTAATTTTTTACTCTAAATATGATGGATGGTCGATCAATTTTTTTCTTCATTAGCCATTATTTTGATATCAATTAAGACATTGTTTATATTCATGCCTCAATAAGCGGTCAAACGAGTTTTTCAACTTAAATCTGATCATTCGGTCAAAGGCTTTGATGTCACAATTACAATTGATTTTGAGTGGCAGTTGGTAGCACATATTTGTGTTGCTCTATATATAATAATAAAAAAGTGTGGACCAATTTAGACCATAATTTTCTTCGATTTGGTTAAAAGATGTAAATTTCGGAGTACGTGTGACGTGACTTGGTTAATCGAAAAATGAAATGTTACCGAATCATGTTATATCTTTATGAGCCTGACTTAGCTCATTGATTGCTGTTAAAGTCTTAAACTCAATTTGAGAGTCGAGCATAACAATGATTGAGTAATGATGTGAATGAGTGAATTTATGTATTGCTTATTCTTTTCTACGGACTTTAGCATCCATACTTGATGATTCGACTGACACAAAGATTAATATTCAATGATTCAAGTATCATTTATGTGGTTGTGGCTGAGTCTCCAGTGGACTCTGTTGCTTTCTCGTTGCATTCCTTTCATTTGATCAAGCTTAACGTTCCCTTATCAAGTCGACCTTGGTGATATAAACAGAAGAAGAAGCAAATAAACAGGGGGGAAGATTTTGATATACAACTTGTATACAAGAAATCTTAGAGCTGATATTAGTAACATATATAGGAATTATATAAAGAAATTGAGTCGTAGTTTAGTCATTTTTTTTGTCTTATACAAGTATTATTAAACTTGATAATAGTAATCCCTAGATATTTTTTTAGTTACTACATAAGATCACATGTGATGCATTAGGTGTGTTTGAGTCAAATTGTGCAATCAAATATTATATTGAGTGGACCAAATTTTAATGCAAGATTATATCAATTAATACATTCTAGCAAACCGCTCCTCAGTATATACACTAATATACATAAGTAATGGGTCAAAGTCCATATAGATGGCATCAGATTCGGGAGTATGCCCCGAGCCTAATTAGTTGGGTAGTGAAGATTTGGGCCAAGAAGAGCTTAATATACCCTTAAATTATTAGAAATGGTATAAAACTACCATCCATCCACCTATTAGCTCTCAAATACCCCTGACATTTACCTATTGGCTCCCAAATACCCCTGACATCCACCTATTGACTTATAAGGTATAATCTCCCAAAAATGTCGATTCACTAATTACAGAATGTGGTCGCTCTGCCTTTGGGTTGGATATCGGGTTGGGGTTACCAGGTCCTACAAATTCGAGTTTTATTGAGTTTGTTGTAACTTGTTCTTGGTTCAGGTTTCAACTAAAAATATTTTCTTATAATTTTTAAAAAGTATTTCTTAAATCACTCCATGAATGTTAAATATAATTTTAAATTTTAGACAAAACAATTAGGCCGGATAGGTTAATCTAGTACTATCAAATTAGAAATAGTATTAATTCAACCAATTTTTGATTTTTGATTGAGGTTTGTGCTCGACCGATTTCAGATCTTCAAGGTGAACTGACATGTCAACACACAAGTCTTGGATTGGTCAATCTGAGCTACTACTGAATTCAATTAGATCTTGGAACGACTCAGCCTAACCGACACTCTTAGATTAATTTAGGACCGTGCGTAAAGAGCTTGTAGGTGATAAATCAACATGAAAGTCATGTATCCTGTTTTTATGCCTTGTTTTATTGGTGGAAATTCAGAAAGAGAATAAAAAGAATACATTAGGGTAAATTTTTTATCTTATGTATATATTAAATGTTGAATCTCATTAACACAGAAAGAAGATCAAATATGTAATAACTACAGTAGCTTTGTGGCATCTTTCATAAAAAATGACTCTTTTTAATGCATTCAACTCCCAATTTTGGACCTCCGCAATACAGATTAATCACCAAATTTTTTAAATTCAAACGATTTCAAAATAATTTGTTTTTATAAAGCTCAAAATATTTTTCAAATATTTGAAGTAATTTTGGACACTTTTTATAATTTTTAATGCTAGATATGTTTTTATATAAGTAGTTTATTTTATAAATATTCAAAAATTATCTTAAAAAGATTTTAATTTTAGTAAGTATTTTATTAAATTAGTTTAGTTAAAATCATACTTATATTTTTGAGTTATCAGTTTCTACTTAAATTAATTTTTCAACTCGATAAGATTAAGAAGCTCATAAATTAATTATATTAATTCGTTCTATTTGAATTTTAGCCGAATCCTCTAAAACTTAATTTTTCTCCGTTGTCTCTTTAATTCGTTTGACTAAATTGTTAATTAATTTCTATTGCATATGTAGCCAAATCTAATCTTCTTCTCCAACAAATTTTAAGACCAAGAAGTGGGGTCATTTATTTGCCAATTTCCTGCAACCCACTTCAATACTTCGGCCCATTTCGTTGACCCATCGCACTTCTCTATTTTCAAAAGAAACCTAACAATGTTCTTTTCTCCTCTTTCACGTCAATAGCAGCTCAAAAGCAATAGAAGCAACGACGATTTCAAACGGCATCAACAGTGCCAAAAACGACAAATTCTCTGACGTTCGTAATTTCAAATGGCGTGAACAAGACAGTAGACGAAAAACGGCCCAGACACGTGCTTCAATGTGTTGTGTCGTCTCCCTCAATCGTGTGCGACAACAGTACATTCACGCTAGATATTTTGTTGATATCTTAAGAAAGGTCACTTAAATAAAGAAAGTACAATATTGTATCTTCACAAAATAAAATTTTCATAAAAGTCATAAGTTGATTCCCTCCAAAAAAGAAAAGATAATAAGAAGAAAGCAATACCATAACTAAGCTAAGTGTCACGTCCCGCCAATTTTCAGTAAGATTTTGCATCCGGATAGGGGCAGAAAAGTCTAGAGTTATGAAGAGATTTATAAAAAAAACTCTAGAAGCCTTAGATATTTCTAGAAGGTTTTGGAGAGTTCTAGAAGGAACACTTGATATTTTCTAGGAAAACTTTGGAAAATCCTAGTGTAGAATTCTCTAGAAAGAGGACCAAAGTGTAAATAACTTAGGAACTTGTAAGTAATTATAAATTACACTTTAGCCCCTAATAAGTAGTATAAATAGGAGGGCTCTCGTTTGTAAATTATCCAACAAGTTGTAAGCAATCTTCCAAGTAATAAAAAACCTTCTTCCAAATTTGTAAGTCTTTGTTAGCATTCTCTTAGCGATCTTAGCATAAAGGTCTTACTTGAGCTTATAAGATCGTTAAGGATTCGTCAGTAAGTTTTCAAGTGCCGCACGGAGTTTTAATAAATACTCTAAGTCCATGAAAATGTGTATCAGAGCAAAAATTTGAACTAATAGAATGACTACCAAAGGAGACGTGAACGCTGCTAGCACCACCAATGTCCGTTTGGATGGAGGAAAGAAGCATCGATAAGGAAAGAAGCCCAGTAATGGCCATGAAGAAATGTTGCCCGATCCTACACCATGCCAGGCTCTAACATCTCATCCACCCTCAACCACCAAGGCAAGTGACGATGAACATGGCTAGGAGGACATTAACGTCACCGCTGGAGAAGAATGGGTCACAAGGGTTGAAGTGGCGCGACAGGTTATGGAGACTTTAGGTCGGCGCATGAATGTGGCTGATGGAAAGTTTAAAACCCTTGAAGACTTCACGCTAGAAGAGATTGAATCTATCCATAAAGAGTTGCAGGAATGCCAGTAGGTTGAGTTTGAGATGAAGGAGGTTATCACTTCCTTGGAGTGTCGGCTCATGGAGGCATTGAGCACAATTGAGAGCATGAGCCGAGATAAAAGCACTCAAGGATGGTGTGGAAGTAAGAGCATTATCGTCGCTTGACCAAGATAGGGAGGCCAAGGTCAAGGCTCCAAAGCAACCTATGTTCAAAGCAGTCCGTGACGCCAAAGAGGTGGAGAATTTTCTGTGGAATTTTGAAAATTACTTCAACTGCAACAGGCTGAAAAGCGACTAGAGTAAGATCAACACCGTCGTGTTGTATCTTTTAGAGATGGACATGTTGTGGTGAAGGCGTAAATAGTTTTAAATAAAGAAGGGGACGTGCACCATCAACACTTCGGAGCGATTCTGCAAGGAGTATAAGAAAGTCTTCTTCCCTAACTACGTCATGTTTGAGGCGAAGCGCAAGTTTAGGGAACTAAAGCAAAATGGCAGTATACGTGCGTATGTGCAGGAGCTCACCAACCTCGCGCTTTAAATTCCAAATATCACTGATAAAGATATGTTGTTCCACTACATGGATGGGCTGCAAAATTGGGCCAGGACGAAGTTGAAACGCCGACAGTTCAGGACTATTTATGAAGTCATTATGCAGGCCGAAGCTTTGAAAGACTTCAGGTACGAGAAGCCCGACAAAACTACAGGAGAGGATATGAGAGGTAGTCAGGACCATGATGGGGGAGATGGTGGCAAAGGCGAGGAGCAGCGGCCACATCCTAAGAAGCATGATACCAACAAGTCTGATAACAAGAAGTCTGGACGTCATGGAGACATGGAGAGAACGATAGAGGTTGCCAAAAGAGGTGGTTGCTACATATGCGGTGGGTCGTATGGTTATGTGAGGTGTCCTGAACTAAAGAGTCTTGGTGCTATCCTGCGAGAGCGGAAGAGAAGGAAGCACATGATCAAGAACAAGTCGCGAAGACGATGCAATTGGGCTTATTAGGACTATGCGGAGCTATCACCAAGAAACCAGAGAAACCGAGAACATGCGGAGCGCAGTATGTCGAATCACGATCAATGGAAGACTCGCTCGTGTTATGGTCGACACAATGGCAAGATCAATATCATGATCAAGACGACAACGACAAGGTTGGGGATGCATTATAGTCCAAGTAACGCCCAACTCAGGACGGTCAATGCACCACCGACTCCCATGAGTGGAGTCGCACGTGGAGTAACATCACTCTAGGCAAGTGGCAAGGTAAGACCAACTTCATTGTCGCTCCTTTAGATCTCTTTGACATTATTCTTGGGCAAGAGTTCATCCAATAGTGTCACATAATGATCGATCCTTACCTCCAAGGACTTCTGGTCATGGAGCAAGGTGGAACATGCATGGTTCCTATGATTAAGGCACCAAAGATAGAAGGGCAGGCCCAACTAACGACCATGCGACTCAAGAAAAATCCTAAGAAGGAGAAGTAAACATTTATAGCCACCATTATAAGTTCGAAAGAAGAAAATGGTGCTAAGAAGTCTTTGCCACGTGCAGGAAAAAGGTTCCAAGAGGGGACAATGTGATGTCAAAGAATCCGTCGAAGCACTTGCCTCCTAGGAAGGAGGTAGATCGTGTTGCCGAGTTAGAAGGGATAAAGAAACAATTGAAGGAGTTGCACGAGTGCATTGATTGAGTCAATGGACTGTTAGTCCCGCATACGAGAAGACAAGACTCAATTGCCGATGCAGTGATGATTCAACGCGATCTTCACATCAATAGGTGGGGTTGAATGTCACATTCCGCCGATTATCAGTACGATTTTACATCCGTATACGGGAGAAAAAGTCTAGAGTTTTGTAGAGGTTTATAGAAAAACTCTAGAAGCCCTTACATCTTTCTAGAAGGCTTTGCAGAGTTCTAGAAGACAGATTTGACATTCTAGGAAAACTTTGGAAATCCTAGAAAGTGTAGACTTCTCTAGAAAGGGGACCAAAGTGTAAATAACTTAGGGACTTGTAAGTAATTATAAGTTACACTTTACCCCTTAGGAAGAAGTATAAATAGGAGGGGTCTCATTTGTAAATTATCCAACAAGTTGTAAGCAATCTTTCAAGTAATATACAAGCCTTCTTCAAAAATTCTCTAAGTCTTTCTTTGCATTCTCTTAGCGATCTTAGCATAAAGGGATTACCTAAGCTTACAAGATTGTAAAGATTCATGAGTAAGTTGTCAAGTGCCTCACAGAGTTTTAGTAAATACTCTAAGTCCGTGACATAAGGATCAAAATGTTACCAAAATTGCATACCTAGGTAAGTAATTTTTCAAATGGTAGAAAAATTCAATGAAATGAAGATGACATGTAGTTGTCCAATAAAAAATCCTTGATTGTTGAGCTTCATCAATACTACTATATAATACTAAGAAAGAGAAACTCTTCACTACCAAGAATAATTACTGCCAATTCATCAACTTCTCAATGGCCATCACACATAGCTTTTACGATATTTTTCATTCATATCTCTATATTGTAGTTGTAATACTTGTCCAAAAACTCATCATATTTCTATAATTTTTTTAATGCAGGGAATATAATGATCTTGTTTGTCACTATAACTATAATTGTAGGTGTTCAAAGCCAACTAACAAAGGAAATACCTTATAATGCGGTTGTCTCTACAGATGGAATCGGAAATTTCAACACAACTTCTGGAGCAATATTGGCAACACCTGATCACAATGTCAAGCCATTATTCATAAATCTCAAGAATGGCACGTATCAGAAATATATTAGAGTTGATGAAACGAAGACTACTATAATCCTGATCAGAGAAGGGATGAATACTATGATAATAACGGATAATAGAAGTTTTGTTGATGGCAACCGAACCTATGATACCGCAATCGTTGGTAAGTCCCTCTCTTTATATGTACATGAGTTTTATTATTTTTGATGAATAATTGTTTCTTCTTATTTAATTTGCAGGGGTCGCTGGCAATGGCTTCATAGCTCAAAACATAACTTTTAGGAATAATGTCAGACCCATAAAACATCAGGCAGTGACATTACGAGTTGATGCAGATTTGGTGTCCTTTTATGAATGTCATTTCGACGGGTATCAAGACACCTTGTATGTGAAAAGACAAATCCAGTCCTACTGCGATTGTGAAATCTATCGCACCATAGATTTTATATGTGGTGACGCAACCGCCGTGTTCCAAAACTACTTGATTGAAGCTTGCACTCCAATGGCGAGGCAATATAACACAATCATAGAGAAACACCAAGAACTTGAGTTGTTTGCATCTGGAATACTGTTTCAAAATTGTACTATAAAGGCCACCCACGATTTGGAGAAATCGGTCAACGTCACGACATATTTAGGTCGTCCATGGGGTTTGTTTTCTAGGACTGTGATAATGGAAAGTTATATTGATAGATTAATAGATCCTAGAGGATGGGTTGAGTGAATTGAATCGACAAATAAATCTGTTGTTAGCCGCCGACCATATTATCTGGAGTATAAGAATAGAGGGTCGGGTGCTGCCATGAAGGGATGTGTGACATGGGCATTCGTCACTACAGATCCTAATATTGCATTAAATTTCACGGTTAGAAACTTTATAAGTGGTGACCAGTGGATTCCCGTCAATATCCCTCATTACCTAGATTTATCTTGAACTAACAATTAATTTGTATTATATTTGAAGGAATATTGATTGTATTGAAGTGTTAACCTAATAAGGGAATACATGGGAGATATATATAGGAGATATAGGAAGGAGTACTAATCATAATAGGACTAGGATTAAGGGATTAAGGAGTACTAATCCTAATATGACTAGGATTAGTACACATTAAATACTAATATTATTTAATACTATTTATTTAATACTATCTGTTATTATCCCCCCTCAAGCTGAGCTGAGCGGAAGCGAACGGAAGCTTGGAACTGAGGTAATCGTGCTGTCGGCTCGGGAGAGGCTTGGTGAGAATATCAGCCGGTTGTTCTTCAGTGGGTACATACTGCACAGTCATGGTGCCGACCTGAACTTCATCGCGAACAAAGAGACAATCGGTATCAACATGCTTCATTCTGGTGTGTAGGACAGAATTCTTGGCCACACAGATGGTTGATTTGTTGTCACAATAGAGAGCAGGAACAGTGTGAGTGGCACGGAGTTCGCGAAGAATATATGTGACCCACATGGTCTCAGCAGCAAGAAGATCAAGGGCGCGGTATTCAGCTTCAGTCGAGGACCGAGAGACCTTGAGTTGTTTTTTTGTACACCAGGAGATCAGGTTCGGCCCCAAAAAAACGAGCAACCTCGATGTAGATTTTCTATCATTTTTATCATTCGCCCAATCTGAATCTGAGAAACCCCGAAGCTCCAAGTCCCCATGTCGAATGAGTAAACCACGACCAAGAGTGCCAAAAATGTACCTGAGAATGCGTTTTAGACAATGGTAATCATGTTCACTTGGTTGATGCATGCGCTGAGCAACTCGGTTGACAGCAAAATGGATGTCAGGACGGGTAATGGCCAGATACTGTAGAGCCCCAATGAGACTGCGGAAGTGGGTGATATCGGCAAAAGGGGTGTCGGCTCCATTCGTAGACGAAGAGACTGCCATCGGTGTTGGTTTACTAGTGCATTTTTCTAGTCCAGCTTTCTGCAACAGATCTCGAGCATATTTTGACTGATGAAGAAACAAGCCGCTGCCTGTCCGAAAGACCTCCATTCCCAGAAAATAATGTAACGGGCCAAGGTCCTTCATTTTGAAGGTAGTATGCATAGCTCGAGTGACATCCTGAATGAGAGCTGCAGTAGAGCCTGTAATAATGATATCATCTACATAGACAAGAAGAATGACTGTACCGTGTGCTGAATGTCGAGTAAACATACTCGTGTCGTGTACGCAACACGTGAAGCCGAGTCCCTGGAGGAACGTTTTCAGACGTGTGTACCAAGCACGGGGTCTTGCTTGAGCCCATACAGAGACTTCTGGAGTTTGCAAACATGTTGAGGGAAGCGGGGATCAACATAGCCCGGTGGTTGCGTCATGTAGATAGTTTCATCAAGCATACCATGAAGAAAAGCATTGGAAACATCCAACTGATTGATGAGCCAATTGTTGCGCACGACGAGTGACAGTACCAGGCGAATGGTTTCCTGCCGAATAATAGGACTGAATGTCTCGGAGTAATCAAGCCCATACTCCTGATTGTAGCCTTTAGCAACCAAACGAGCCTTGTACCTGGAAATACTGCAATCTGCATTGTGTTTAATTTTGTACACCCATTTACAGCCCACTGGGTGCCGCCCATGGGGCTTAGGTACAAGAACCCAAGTTTTTTGATCAGTCAAAGCCTTAAACTCGTCATCCATAGCATGATGCCAATAAACATTTATTGAGGCAATAGAGTAGGTTGTTGGTTCACTATCGGGAAGGGGTGTATTTGGTAGTATGGTAGCCTGAAAGGTTTTGGGTTTAAAGATACCGGCTTTGCCACGGGTTAACATGGGATGATTATTGGGGGATGGCACGGGCGGTGGTGATTCGGAGGTGGCCGGGAAGGACCCAAAACGGATCAGGCTGGAGATGTTGTGGGTAATGGGGTGGTTCGGGTTGGTTGTGAGTGTGGCTGGTGGTTGCGGGTGTATTGTGGGTGACGGTCGAAGGGGTGATGAGGGGTGGTTGGGTAGTGGGTGGAAGTGTGGGGGAAGGTGGTGAGGGACCCTGTGAGTATGTTGAAAAAAGGGGAAGGACGCCAATGAATGATGTATTTGTGGAGGAGGAAATAGACTTGTACGGAAACTCATTTTCGACAAATTTGACATGACGAGATATATAGACTTTATGAGTTTGTGGGTCAAGACAACGATAACCCTTAGAGGTAGGATGATAGCCCAAAAAAATACAAGGACAGGATCGGGGTTGTAATTTGTGAGTAATATGAGGGCTCCAAGGGTAGGCAAGACACCCAAAGACGCGGAGGTTGGTATAATTGGGAAGTTCTTGGTAAAGGAGTTGATAGGGTGATTTGTTGGAGAGAGTGTGACTGGGCATTCTATTAATGAGGTAGTTTGTGGTGGCTAGAGCTTCTACCCAAAAGGAGACAGGGAGATGAGATTGATGTAGAAGAGTAACCACCGTTTCAATGAGATGGCGATGCTTACGCTCAGCCACCCCATTCTGTTCGGGAGTGTATGGACAGGAGGTTTGATGTATAATTCCCAGGGATTGCAGAAACTGGCCAAAGATGTTATTGACATATTCCTTTCCATCGTCACTTCGAAAAAGTTTAACATGAGAATTGAATTGTGTTTTGACCATTTTTTCAAAAGTGACAAAGGTGGTGTATGCCTGTGATTTGTGTTTTAGTGGGTACAACCAAGTGTATTTTGTAAAATTATCCACAAAAAAAATATAATAGCGAAAACCAGCAAATGAAGGAACAGCAGTAGGACCCCATAGGTCAGAATGAATAAGTTGAAAAGGTGCAGTTGTACGCTTCTCAGATAAAGTAAAAGGTAAACGATCGTTCATCTTGAGTATGATAATTAGTTATTTTGTGGTTTTGAGTTTGATAATGAATATGGTAGAATTTTTAGAGAAAGATATGATAAGGTCGATGGAGAGGTGATCAATGGTAAGCTAAGATACGTAAATTCATAAAGATGTTCAATATATGAACTAATGTTGGTAAATAATGGGATTGTGTTACATGGTTGGGATTAAAAAAAATTAAGTTTTTTATGGTGAGTTTATGTTCATGGTAGATGTTTTGTCAAGGTATGAATTGATAAGGTAAGGAATTATCGATAGCATTGAGTATGAAGTATTTATAAGTACTTAAAAATAATTTAAGTAGTAAATTTGGTTACCTTTGATTGTTATATCTAAGGGGTGTTTCATGTAATGTTTTGGTTTGGAGGACAATGTAAAAATATATTGTGTTGTTGGTCAAAGGATAAGATTGGTAAGTAAGTCAACAAAAGGAACAAGAGTTTGGCGTATTAAAAGGTTCAATATATTAGAAATTTTATGTAATGGGAAGAATTTGAGAAAAGTGAAGGAAAATGACCTCTTGTATAATCCATTGATTTGTAGTTGAATATTTTATTAATTTTTGGCTATGAATATCGATATGTATGTGAGAATTAAGATATGAATGTGACATGTGAACTAGTTCGGTATTGACTTGCTAGGGGGTTTATCATCGAAGTTGTATAAAGATTGAGCTTTAATTGGGTGACAAGTAATCAGGTGTGGTAGGTTTTTATGTCTAGCTAGATTGTTCAAATTAGGATAGGTAACTTATGGATATTCGGCAGAGTGGGCCTACAGTTCAACATGGTTAATAAGTATTTCAAGGGATTGAAACACTTGATAAAATGATATAAGCAGTTATGATGCATTACATAGGTCTTTTATAGTGAGTAAAGGTTATGAGCTTATAGTATACCAAATTATTGAAGTGACCAAAAATTTCTTAAGTGTTGGTATGAGGGATATGATGGTTTGAAGGATAGTTGAGACTTGGTATGTCAGTGATACCATGTCATTGACCATGTGTGATTCATTATCGTGTCGCAATGGAAAGTACTTTTTGAATTGAAATTAGTATTATCAGTTTTGGGAGTGACCCGTATTTGTCATTAAATGATTAAATGGAAAGAAAGAGAACCATAGTTGAAAATTTTCAAAGGCTACAATGTGTTTGCTACGAAAATTTTGATAGTAGGGATAGTTTGAGAGTAATGTAAAGGGTCGATGTGGTTATGATGTTTGTTAGTATAAAGAGTGTTGACTTTAAAGGAGTATTGTGAGAAGTATGTTGACTTTGATGAATTAAGTATTTGTTAAATTGTAATGAGTATTAGACTGGTTGATTGTGGGTGACTAAAAATCAAAGGAAGGGAGTCATATGAATGAAAAATTTTGATATAGCACTATGGAAAACCTATCTAGTGTTATTTGACATTGGTTTTGTATATTCTTATGTGACCAGCTACTTCATGATGGATATGATTTGGAGTGTGATTAGTTGTCTATGCCCATACATATTTTCACTTCTATAGGTGCATCCCTAGTGGTGGATCAGGTGTACCGATCCTGTGACGTGCTTTTGGTAGGACAAGATACTTGGAAAAATTTAATTACTTTAGATATGACGTATTTGGTATTTTCTTGGGATAATTGAAGTATACCAGTAGTTCTACACACACAACCTTACTTATGAGAAATTATATAAGAGCTATAAAGAGTTACAATTGTCTAAAAGGATTGTTAGAGGTTCTACATTTTGAAGTGTATCTCTTGTTGGGTGCTTACATGATCATTTTCTTCTTTGGGTTAGATAAGTTTGAATTCTTCCTTGATGGATATTCGATATCTAAAGATCAATTTTTATAACTTAAGCTCGTGAAAAAGAGAATCACGATAAAATATGTGATGGTATGTG